CAACTGGCTCACTGAACTTCTAACAGTTTTTGGAAAATGAATTACTCATTTTGGCGATCAAGACTTGAGTAATGCACCAATGATAGAACATCTTGTATACTTTTCTCTAAGTATCATATTCTGAGTAAATTTAATATTTTTCTTCCATTGAAATTCCCATTGTTGTATCACTATTACAATATTCAAATTCTGCATCCTTTAATCATGCAATCTTGGACATACTGTTCTATTCTCAGCCATATTTTATTAATAATTTATAAATTAAACCAAATAAATATTCAAAGTTGCATTTAATATAATTTTAGATCCTGTCATATATCTCAATATTCCCCCTTGTTTCTGCAGTTCTTTTCATACTGTGCTACTTATTCGAAGGTACTGGAGCCATCCAGGTATGCTAGACCATTGTGAAATAAGAATCTCAAAAGATTTTATCTTTGTCTTGTCAACAATCAAGTCTTGCATTCTGATTGAATTATTGCTTTTCCACTGATCAAATTTTTAATGGCCTCCTCTTCATAAACACAGACATTTAAAAGCAAAGCTAAGGGGAAAACCTGGTCTCATTGCCTTCCTTATTTATCCCCAATATTCAGCATATTATTTATTATAGCATGATCTCTTATTAATGGTTTATTTCTATTTGTATCAATTCCAAAATATTTATGCAGACCATATATAGGAGCCCTATTCCTTCCATAGAAGGGACAGAACCATAAAGAGATAATATCTCTTCTCTGATCCATGTTGAACAACTAGCATAATAGTACAGTTTAAGATTCAGAACCACTAGTTCTCCTCACTTTCTCACATCCTGCAAAATCTTGAACTGAATCCGCTGTCTTTTATTGTACCATATATGATTCATTGCTTGTCCATGTCTTATTTTCAATATGTACTGTACCAGTTCTTAATATGCTTCCTAAAAACTCATACCTTGACCACCACCCAGTTAGACTAGTATAACATATTCTGTGTAGAAACAACCCAGAACCAACAGCTAGTACAGAATTCAGTGGCTTGGATATTGGCGGGAGAACTCTACTGGTATAGAATAATACCTATATTTTTGGTTTTATGGTTATATATTCTTATTTTATTTATTTTAGTTTTGTATGCCTCAGAAATGGATGGGTTGTAAGAAATTGTTCATTAAAACATAAAGGCCAATTGTGCTGGAAATGGGTTGTTTAGATACGCGGTCCTATTGTTCTTTCTCACAGGGCTTAGACCATCTGATAACAGCAACAGTAACTGTTAATACCAGTTCCTTGTAAAGAACTTCTAATTCATCAAAGCTAAGGTACCCAACTTTGATCAGATGTCTGTCTCTTTCTGCTGTTGCCATGAGCTGCAAAAATGAAAGCCATGTAGTGCTACTCATTCCGTATCTGTCTACAATAAAAGGCTGGCGGGCTGCATTTGGATTGGCAGGCACAAGCTTTATCCTTGAGTTTTGTGATGTGTCTTTTGATTCAGGAGCCTCCAAATTGCTAAGCAGTGCAATGATACTAAATAAACAATCAAATATCATTACTATAAATTGACCAATAAAAACTACAAAGAGCAGAATCACAGCATAAGAGGCGAGAGTAAAACACCAATCCAAACCAGAGAACTGAATGTTGCTTTAATCAGTTCTGTATTTCATTGACTCAGGCCTAGAAATCTGAACAAAGATTAAGAGAATTTTTCTAGATGGGTTTTTTGAAGCAACGCACTCACCGCCACCTCTTCTATAAAGACATTAATCTTTCAAGAAAAATATATGTTCAGAATGAGAAGAAACCAAGAAAAAAACCCCAGATTTATGTCTGTAATCTGTCCGTTAAATACATTCATATTCTGTGAGTAGTTCTTAATGATAAAACTTGAGAGTGTCAGTAGAGTACACTCCTACAGTTTTTTCCTCCAAGGGCTAGGCTTTAATATGCTTTAACCATCTTTGTACTGTAGCTGATGTTAGAGGGCAGGTACATTATGAACAGCTCAACTTCCACCAACTCTGATCAAAGAGGTAGTTCAAAGTTACATAGGCCCCAAATTCCTTTTATCTTGGGTTCCCTGCTGGGTTGGGAATTATAGTCCAGTTTTGCATAATGGTGCAGCCACGCACTTAAAAAATAAGCCATCTGTTTCTTTCATCTTCAAGCTGTCATAGAAGCTGAAAGTGTAATGTGTTGTGCCCTCCCACCAATTTAATTCTTTAAAGTCCCTTAGAATTCATAGAAGTTTCACACTATTTGTATTTATGTGTCTGTGAAAGAGAGAAAGAAAGGGGAGGGGAAGAGAGAGAGAGTGCAAATGCAAGGATGTACTGTGTATAGAAATGTATAAGCGTTATTCAGAAAGGACATGTAATGTTTTCAACAGCCTTCATCGTAGAAAAGATATTTTAACATTCTTCCACAGTGCCTTCTAAAAATGTGCAGAATAGGAAACTGAAAGAGTGGATGCTAATCAGAATTTTTTTTAAAAAAAAAAATCTGACAGTGATGATGCTGAAGAGGGAATCAGGTATATTTTTAAAGGTGAAACTGCATATTGTTCTCATCTTAAACCAGCTGTGCAAAGTTCCCTTTTCAGCATCATAATTTCAGATCAGGCCATTACCATAAATATATTGGATATGGACTGGATTTGACTGTGAGTAGTGATTACGTACACTGGAATGAGTTCATTTTTAAAAAAGGAAAGAGAAAATTGCTTTTATATACTATAAAAGAGTTTTCCTGCTGCAAATATATGAAGATTTCCTTTACACATACCAAGTGCTCTGTCATGGTAACCTGATCAGATTGCTGCTGATCCTGTTGTGGGAACTTTTTAAAAAAATTCCTACTTTAAATTACTGGAGCCGGTGAAAGAGAAATGTTTTTTACTTTGCTCTAGGACCACTATAGTGTAAATTTGCCTTATTGTTTTACTAACTATACTTTGAAATGCCAAGTATGCTATCCCATCCTTTCCTTGACTCTAACTCACTTTAGATGCTTCTGGTGGGAGAAATACTAGCAGAACAGCTTCATCAGTGGATTCTTTCCAGCTGAATGTGTGAATTGCCTCCATTTAAAAGCACTGTATTTCAAATGATGTTAGATGATATGAATGTTATGCTTGTACTTTTTTTATTGGTGATGGCTCTATTACTCATGCAATTAATAACTTGTTTTTGCAGTTATTGAATGATGAATCATATGTATTTAGTTTTAGGCTTATTTTATAAATAATACACAAACTTCCTCACCCCCCTCCCCCACTATTATGTCAGTATAAATAGCCATGTGAATGCAGATTTTGCTTTGCTGATTCTATCACCCTTCTATCTAGGGTGTCTAACAGTGTGTGATCCTCATATAGGATGGTATACACAGATATGGATCTGCCCTCTCTCCACATAGTCAACTAACTACAAGGTGTTTTTGAGTGAGGAAATTTCATCTCATACAAAGTGGACACTTGATCTAAGGCTGTAAGAGTATTATAAATTCTGAAACTAATTCTCTTCCAGAGGTATAACAGCCTTGGAAGCATTAGTGCTTTCTAATCTGTGGACAGATGAAAGATCAGGGGAGGCAGAACAGAGTTCATAGTTGCTGGTTTTTACTGATCAATAAATAATTTTCGTCAATAATGATTTCAGACTGTGATACCCCTTCAACAGCTAGTTAGCATAAAACCCATCATATATGGCCTACTGACAGTATCACCTGAAAACGTCAATGTGTTAAGCTGGAAGTGTAAGCTTTACATTAACCTTCAGAAGCTTAAGCATCCATCAACCACAAAAATTTAATATCTATCTATCTATCTATGAAAGAATGACGTGAATCCTGTTTGGTTCCAATTTTCTATACCTGTCTCGGGTAAAATAGCAACCATGTGAAGGACACTTGAAACTGAATCTTCTTGGAGGTTTTACTCAGCATGTTTTTGATGTGCAGTAATTTGACAGGTAGATCAGTCATTATGTAGTTTCCTTCCAGCAAACTATAATGATGCCAGAATGATAGTATGCATATTGTGATGTCATCATGCAAATGTTGCCATTGCATACTTGCATCCTGATGTCTCACAGAAATAAATAATGGCATTTGCATGATGGCAAGATCATGCACATTTCGTCATTCATCTTTCTTGCCTCTTGCGGATGACATTGTTTATTTCACACTACTGCGGACTATAAACGAGACTGATGCTGCAATGTACAAACAAATCACAATGGAAATATCTCTGTAACCTGCTATAGGTTGTAGTACAGAATTCCAAGGAATCCCTATAATTGAGAATCTTGCAGTCTAGCCCTGTTACTTCTTATCCATCTTCCATCTATGAAAGTGCCTCATAACTGCACAGAATCCTTCTGTGCTTTGAACAGGTATAGGGTACAGTCAGCTATAGCAAAGTAGCCAGCATTTAGTTTCCAAGGGAATTAAGCTAAAAGCTCACCTCTGGCACAGTATTAACCAGATTGATTTGTCAATAATTGCAGACTGGGAGTACCAAGCATATGATAAAAGCTCAATTGGCAACAGCAATTTTTGTGAAGGTGACTTGGCATTTTTACTTTTTTTTTTTTTGACAAAGTAGATGATGCAGTTGGGCCAAACAGTGAAAGTAAAGATGACTGCAGTAAGACTCAGACTAGGATATTGGCTTAGCTGCCAAAGGCTGGTGATGAGCCAACAAAAAAAGTCAAACAGAAATGTAATTTGCTGATGAAAGTTATATACCTCATTAAGTAATATTATATTTCTGGTAAAATGAATCCCACTTAAGGAAGACATTTGGTACAAATTCATATTGCATCAGATAGGCAATAAATGCAGCAGTTTTAATAATAGTTAATGACAAATGGGTTCCAATTTTTATAAGTAATTACATCTGTAATATGCATTAATGTTATTAGCAACATTCTCTGCATTCTATTTGGTAATTCTCAAGGGGACTTCATTTTCATTTGTATGAATTCCAATGACTCCTCTCTTTCATTTTGGCAGAATCTGTATCAGAACAGGTTATTAGGCCTGGCTGCTATGGCATCACCGTCCAGGAACTCGCAGAACCGGCGTCGGTGCAAAGAACCTCTGAGGTACAGCTATAACCCAGACCAGTTCCACAACATGGACATTGGAAATGGGCCCCATGGGACAGTCACTATTCCACGCTCGACCAGTGACACAGATTTGGTCACTTCAGATAGCCGGTCTACACTCATGGTCAGCAGTTCCTATTATTCCATAGGACATTCGCAGGATCTAGTGATTTATTGGGATATAAAAGAAGAAGTAGATGCAGGTGACTGGATTGGCATGTATCTCATTGGTAAGTCAGCTATATCCGTAGGATTTGTTATATCTTAATTCTCCAAGTAAAAGATGTATCTTAAAGCAGACCTATTTCAAGTTGAACATAAACCATGATTTACAAATGGCGTTGTCATTCCTCTTCTCCAGTAAAGAACCAACAAAAGCAACAATAAAAGAGATGTAACAAATAGAAGCAAGAAAAAGGGGGTTTGCCACTCTTTTTGCTATGTCTTCAGTTTGGTGTCAGATGTGAATGTTTTATTTTAATAGATGCTGAACTTATGCTTTTGCAGGTAGGTTCCCCTGAATTCATAGCCCAGTTCATCACTGCAGAAAAGCTGCACTCGTGATGTGAGCACTGATGAGCAATGTAAGAAATACACTGGGTGTTTCAGGCCTGAGATAGTAGTTATATTCTGCAACCACTCAGCTTAAAGACTACCAAGCACCATACAAAGGATGTGTTAATTTGTCAGAAGGCTGGGAAGAAAAAGATACAGATTTCAGCTACTGTACCTTGAATATAAGTGATCCTTAAAATCTCACTCTGGCAGTGAATAACCAACTGATGAAATATGCTTCATACTTGTTTACAATAAAGATTCTAATCTATCCAAGATATGTCTGTGAAACTTGTGCCAAGTCTTAGCCTAAGAAGGGAGGTTAGCCTTGCAAAATCAGGAGGTTTATGATTAACTGCTGAATCCTGCATTTTGCATCTCCAAAGCATTTTGGAGAATATGGTAGCCTGGACTAAAGTATGTACTCTATGTGGTTCACACAAACCATGATCTGGCAGGCTGACAGCCATTCCACTTGATTTGAGGATCTGCTCTGAGACATGCCAAACCCTGAGTATGGGCAGTACAGAAAAGGATTTATCTGAAATTAGGTCCTTACATTTGGTTATGCAAATTGAATAGAAATGTAGACATCAGTACCATGTGGCTGATCCTGAGAAATGATGGTGAGGACTGATTAGGGTAAAGAAACGTATGTAGGGCTCCTAATCACTTATTTTGATCCAAGCAGTTTTTTTAACTGATACAGAGTACATCCTTAATAAAAGAAATCCTAGCATTTTTAGTCTCCAATTGATTTTACAACTATCGGCTTTTCTTTCATTCAGCCCTCTGTAGATAATCTGGCAGGCAGGCTCCCATAAAATTGATAGATCGATTTTACATTGGGGTATACCGGTACAACCTTGCTAGATTATTAAATTATGCACAACAAGAAATGAGACTCTTAGAGTAGAAGCATATGTACAAGCAATAGAAGCTGTGTACAAGCAGTTCATGCATAGATCCTTCACTGCAGGCAAAAGAAGTCACATCTGGAGGTAGGCCAGCTGCATAGATCTGATCTGTGGCAAAAGTATGATGGCCCCTTGACTCAGTTCATATGTGAGAAGAAATCTCTTTCACTGAACTTTATTTGCACTTATTGATTTTTGTCACTGGAGAATTCTGAACAAACTCCTAGTCCCTGAAAATTGCAAATAAATACTGTAGCATTATACTATGATTCATTCTGCCAGTTTTCACCTTTTTTGTGAAAGTAGGATTTATGAGTTGTTTTTGGTGTGTGTGTGTATCAATTTGTCCCAATTCAGAGAATTTAAGGGCATTTCCACAACACCATTTTCACTCTGCAACCAACAAAAGTAGTCTGAACTTAAAATGCTGAGAATAAAGAGTAAATATCTTGTCCTATTTGGTAGCAATGCTGCTGGTCCTGCAGCAATAATAAACCTCCCAACCTGCACTCTACAAAGAAGGAGAAAGAGAAGCAGTCATGTAGTATGTGAGTTTTCTGTTGCAGAAGAG